ACAAATACCACTTGCTTATTGTCCTTTTCATCTGTTTTCTAGGTGGTAGCACGACGCTCGGATCTGAAGCTTGTTGTCACCTCTGCCACCATGGATGCTGATAAATTTGCCTCTTTTTTTGGGAATGTTCCCATTTTCCACATTCCTGGGCGCACCTTTCCTGTTGATATTCTTTTCAGCAAGGTGTGGTCAATATAGTAGGGTTTGTGTTGTGAAGGGGTTGTAAAGGTTGTAACTTAGGTATGTCCCGCTCTGCAGTGATCAGAGAGGAAAGACAAGGGATAGCTATGTTATGATGCAGTCCTATACACAGAGTGGGGCAGGTGAGATTACTGGTGTCAAATGTGAACTGTCTTTCAGACACCTCAAGAGGATTATGTGGAGGCTGCGGTGAAACAAGCTCTGCAGGTCCATTTGTCTGGTGCACCTGGAGACATCCTTGTCTTTATGCCTGGTCAGGAGGATATTGAGGTGAGTTGTTTGGCCATGAGCAAGCAGTGTGCCCTTGTGGCCAAGAAAGCTGATGTTATCCTAGGGCGCCTTTAAAAGACGGTGGCCAGCAGGTCATGGGAGGTGATCCTCCCTCTCTACTCTGACTTGGTGAGGCCACATTTAGATTACTGTGTCCAGTTCTGGGCTCTCCAGGTCAAAAAAGACAGGGATCTCCTAGAAGTCCAGCAGGGGGCCACAAGGATGATAAAGGGTCTTTGGGGCATCTCATGGATGAGGAAAGGCTGAGTAACCTGGGTCTGTTCAGCCTGTGGAAAAGGGTTGGACTTGATCTCTTGAGGTCCATCCCAACCCCTGCAATTCTGTGATTCTGAGTCCTATTTTCTTAATTGTATGTTAACACTCCTCTTTGTGTCTAGGTGACTTCAGAACAAATTGTGGAGCACCTTGAGGAGCTGGAGAAGGCACCTGCACTTGCTGTACTGCCCATCTATTCTCAGCTGCCATCGGACTTACAAGCCAAGATATTCCAGAAGGTGCTGATGTGTACTCTGATGGGACTGGGCAGAGGTGAAACTAGCACAGGGAAGGCTACTGGGCATGAGGGAGTGCAGAGATGTCTTTTGTGTGGTACTTATAGAGCAAGGGAAAGCATGTGCCCACTTTAACTTCCTAAGAAGTCACCCATGTTGTTCTAAGTTCTTTATGGCTGCTCTGCAGTCTTCCTCAGTGGTGCAGAGGCTGTTGCCCAAGGAATTTGACTGATGTGTGGTATGTTTGCAGGCTCCAGATGGGGTCAGGAAGTGCATTGTTGCCACTAACATTGCAGAGACCTCACTGACAGTGGATGGTATCATGTTTGTTATTGACTCTGGATACTGCAAGCTGAAGGTAAGCAAAGGTTTCCTATACTGTCCATGGATCTCTGGCATTGGGTTGATTGAGCTCTGTGACAGTGACCCAGCCTTTCTCTTTCTTCATTCTGCTCTCCTTGCGCCCTCCAGGTTTTCAATCCCCGTATAGGCATGGATGCACTGCAGATCTACCCCATCAGTCAAGCCAATGCCAATCAGAGAGCTGGCCGAGCTGGCCGAACAGGCCCAGGTCACTGCTTCAGGTAGGCTCCTTACTGGTGTTTCTATTCTTATCATAATTCATGTCTGGACATCTGGCTACGTATTTTTTTCCTCACCGAAGAGCTAGCTGTTCACTGTCTTGAGCCTACTGTGGGTATGAGGTTTCTGGACAGGCTTTCTGGTTTGGACCCAGCGTCTCTGCAGAGTATGCTCTCATTTCTTCCCTTGCCAGTCTTCACTTGTGACTCCTTCCATCTTTGCTGAACCAGATGCTTTAATGCTCTCAGGTTAATAGCCAAGCCAAAGGCAGCTTTCTCAAGGCTTTTCTTTGAGGCTGGTTTGCACCCAGGGAAAGACTGTGTTTGAGAGAGGTGTACCTTTGCACTGCAGCCCAGGTGCTCTTATGTGCTGGGGAGGCTGCACGGTGGCCTGAGGAAGAACTTCCTTAGGGTCCTGCTTGTCGGCATGGGTGAGTGCAGAGCTGCTGCTTTGTGCTGTGCCTGGTGGAGTTGGGAATGGATGGTCATTCAGTGAGGAACACAGTGGCCTGAAGGGGAGGGGAAGGCTCTTGGCATCTTTCCCCCAGGCTCTACACCCAGAGCGCCTACAAGAACGAGCTGCTGACAACCACGGTGCCTGAGATCCAGCGCACCAACCTCGCCAATGTAGTGCTTCTGCTCAAATCTCTGGGGGTACAAGACCTGCTGCAGTTCCACTTCATGGATCCGCCCCCTGAGGACAACATGCTCAACTCCATGTACCAGTTGTGGATTCTGGGGGCCCTGGATAACACAGGTACTGGCTACAGGGGTGGGCTGTCAGCTCACACACAACTGCTAGGACCTGCCCACCTGCTGATTATTACAGTATTCCTCCAGGTGGTCTGACCTCTACAGGACGTCTGATGGTGGAGTTCCCACTGGATCCTGCACTCTCGAAAATGCTCATTGTTTCATGTGACATGGGTTGCAGCTCTGAGATATTGCTCATTGTTTCCATGTTGTCTGTGCCTGCCATCTTTTATCGGCCTAAGGTACATGTTTGATCTTTCAGCAGCTTGGCGCCTTCATCTGCACTCTTGACTGACGTGTTCTTTGCTTATTCTTCAGGGCCGAGAGGAAGAGAGCGACCAAGTGCGGGAGAAATTTGCTGTCCCAGAGAGTGATCACTTAACTTACCTGAACGTTTACCTGCAGTGGAAGAACAACAACTACTCTACTCTGTGGTGCAACCAGCACTTCATTCATGCCAAGGCCATGCGGAAAGTGAGGCTGTGGCAATGAGGTTTGGAGAAGGAGCCTTACATGGGAGAGGGACGTGACTGTTGTGTTTCTGTGCAGGTGCGGGAGGTGCGTGCCCAGCTCAAGGACATTATGGTGCAGCAGCGCATGAGCCTTGCATCCTGTGGTACTGACTGGGATGTTGTCAGGAAGTGTATCTGTGCTGCGTATTTCCATCAAGCTGCAAAGCTGAAAGTGAGAGGGGTCTCTGCTCATCTGGGTGATAAGAGACCCTCTCCACTGGGAATGGGTGTGCTAACCTCACTTCTCCTGTGCAGGGCATTGGGGAGTACGTCAATATCCGTACAGGCATGCCTTGCCACCTGCACCCCACCAGCTCCCTCTTTGGAATGGGCTACACGCCAGACTACATTGTATATCATGAGCTGGTCATGACCACCAAGGTAAACTTGAGCTGAGGGCTAGCAGGAAGGGTGAGCTGTGCTCCAAGGGACCTGAGAAGCTTTGCCTTGATAGTAGAATCTAGGAAGGTCCTGTTTTCAGCCTTTCTCATCTCTAGCAACTGGATGTATCTGTGTAGTCTGCAGTGTCTTGTCCCTTTTGTGATATCTTCCTGGCTTATGTGGGATGTCTTTTAGTCTCACTAACTCCAGGTTGTAGCTTTTGAAGTCAGGAGGAATTGTCCGGAAAGGAGAACTGCCATCAAGAAGTGGAGGAGGGAGGGAGCTGCCATGGCTCTGTCAGTGATGCCCAGGCCCTTGTCATCCTGCTAACTGGATCTTCTGTTCCCGCAGGAATACATGCAGTGTGTCACTGCTGTGGATGGAGAGTGGCTGGCAGAGTTGGGCCCCATGTTCTACAGTATCAAACATGCTGGCAAGTCACGTCAGGTGAATTCTCCTTTCCAGGAGCTAATGGGAGACAAACAGCGGGCTACTACACTGGAAGGGAGAGTGTGTGCCTGGGTGGAGTTCCTGCTGCATACAGCCCTGCTGCATACCTGTTACGGTGGAGGAAGTTGGAGCTAGTTTTTTGTTTTGTTTTTACATAGAGAGATCAGGGTTGTGGGCCTGTGGAAAGTCTGCTGCTGTGCGGGTCTCTACCTGTTCCTGATTTGCTGCTCCTTTACTGCAGGAAAACCGCCGACGTGCAAAGGAGGAAGCATCTGCCATGGAGGAGGAGATGGCTCTGGCTGAGGAGCAGCTGCGTGCCCGCCGGGAGGAGCAGGAGCGCCGTAACCCATTAGGCAGCGCAAGGTGAGTGCTGACACTGTGGGTTTCCTGTTTAAGAGCTGCATGGAGGATCCCAACTTTCCCACAGGTGTTCCTGGTGCAAGAGTTGTTTTCATCTTACACTGATCACCATTGTCCTTTCCTGGCAGATGTACTAAAATCTATACGCCTGGACGGAAGGAGCAGGGGGAGCCCCTGACGCCACGACGCACCCCGGCCCGCTTTGGCCTCTGAGAAGGGAGTGCTCATTGCTTCGAGGCATAAAGACTTCCCAGGAGCTGCTGAGTTTTAGGGCTCAGTTCCTCTGACTGCTGTGAGGCTCTCTACAGCCCGTGGCCCAAGAAGGCTTTGATGCTGTGTATTATTTTTGCTACAGAAGAGAAATAATTTTATTTGTTTAAAGGTTGTCAGTCTTTAACCCTTCTGTTGTTTTGTGTCACTTCTCATCCTGGAGGTGAGTTCCAGGCAGAGACAGCCCTGCCAAGTTCTGCAGGGCTCGTGCAGTCAGGTCGTTGCCCTGTAGAGCCTGGGACAAGGCAAAGAATTACATTGACGTGAAGGACAAAAACAACCTGTGCCTGACCCAGCTCTGGCCTGGACTACTGCAAAGGCAGGTCTTCCATGACCTGTATCCTGCGCAGGCAGCTAGTGCCTAGCTGTCCCTGTACACAAAAGAGCATCAGCTTAGCACTGTTTTGGGCCAGGTTGACTGTTACTCTCCTCACCTTCATCTGCTCATGATTATGGTACTGTACGTGTGTTCTAGCCCTGAAGTATGTGTTTTCCACATGCAAGCTGTCCGGTGTGTCTTGAAGATGTCTGGAGGACAGACAGAGGAAATGAGATAAGGTGAGGTGAGGTACTGGTGCAGAGAGACAGCCTTGCTCTGCTGGCCTTGCAGGAACTTGGGTAATCCAGCAGTTCATCTGTCCCACGTACCCCTGTGGGTGGCAGTAAGTGCTCAGACCCGCTCCCCGTGTTCATTACTTACTGGTTTTCACCTGTGAACTCTGCAGTCTGTTTGACTTGCTGCTGGATCTTGTGGTGTTTCTCATTTGACTGCCTGAAAATGAGATGTAGGCTGAATTAGTTGTGAGAAGGCAGCCATCGGCTCCCCTCTACTTGTGTAAGGCTTCTTACTCACATCTGCTCTTTCACACTCTGGCTGTTATTGATCAGCATCAGATTCCTGTCCTGGTGCAGCCTACTGCTATTAGAACAGGCTGGGGTGTGGGAAGCATGCAGGGCTTTTACCTAAAAAAAACAATACTCTGTGCTGTGTGTGGAGGCAGCAGCCTTTGGGGCTGAGCTGTGAGTCTGCAGTTGCCTGTGTCTTGGTATAGCTGTTCTGGAATGAAGGAACCATTACCTCAGCAGTCTGGACAGAAACTTAATGTCATACTGAGGGCACCTTTCTAGCAACAGAGGAAAGTGGACTACTTAAAGAAGAACAAGATGTTGGCATGCTGCTGCTTACAGACCCACCGCCTCCTCCTCCCTTGGTGTTGGCTCTGCAGTCAGCCCACTCGTGGCCTGGCCTTTCCACCTCTGCCCTGCCTGTAGGCCAGGATCTGTCCTTCAGCGGCGCCTGGGGCTCAGGTTGAAGTCCTCCTGCCCTTGGGCCATGGTTCCGTCTGTTCTTGGCCTGAGCCTGTCTCATGGCCTTGATGAATTCTTCCTTGAAATCCATCTCTGCGTTGCAGACAGACAGTTCATCTTCCCGTCTAGCCAGAGCTTGCTGAGTGTCCTGGTGTAACTCCTGCCAGTACTGAACTTGGCTGCTCAGCTTTTGCAGCTGCTCCTGGAAGGAGCGGGCCTGCAGTGGCACAGAGGGGTGATGAGACATGCAGGCTTAGCACAGGTGCCTAGTGGGAAGGCTCAGGTCATGCTTACCTCCTGCTGGCTCTGCGCCTGGGCCCTCTGTTGCTTCTTGAGTTCCCTGTGGAGCTGTTGCCTCTCTTCCTCGTAACGACCAAGGAGTGGAAGATTGTGGCCTATCTTTCTCTGGGCTTGGGCCAGCTCTGCCTTCAGGGATGCCACTTCCTCCACCTACATGAAAAAGGGCGGGTCTGGGAGTGGCCAGACAGGAAGATGGAGCTGCACCCCGGGCCAGCGCTCAGGGCTCTGTCCTGCTGCTGAGGCAGAGGGAGCTGCATGGCAGCCGGCTGCATCGTGTGGTTGCCCTGTTCCTGCCATCACCTGCTCTAGCAGCTCTGACATCTTCTTTCTGCTCGAGGCTGCTTTCTGCTGTAGGTCGTGGATTGTCTGCTTGTGTCTACTGAGCTGCTGCAAGCTTTGCATCTCCCTGGCCTTGGTGGCTGTCAGCACCTCTTGCTGCTTTTCCAGGCTCTGCTGCAGGGTCCGGTTCTGCTCCTTCTGAGCCTTCAGCTGCAGAAAGGTTCCACATAGGTGGAAGCCACAGTGCTGTGTCACTGCTGCTTTCTGTGCCCTCTCCCTGTGGATTCCAGCTCTGTGCTGCATAGGCTTTGTTGCAGATGCTGGGGTGCCTGGTGCACCAGGCTGAGCCCCCTAGTGCCCGAAACTTGGCTTGCTGCCCTACCTGCTTCTTCAGGGCTTGGAGTTGTTCTTGGCTCTTCTGTAGTTCCTGTTTGGCATGGGCAGCAGCATGCATGTGTTGCAGTGACTGCTCCAGAGTCACCTGCTGCTTCTGCTGCCACCGGCTCAGCTCCATCTGGAGCCACACTGCCATCTCCCTGCAAGCACGGCCACAACTGGAGCAGCCCTGGGTCCCCTCCCTCTACAGAGAGGACGCAGGGCAGGGCTCTGCCTGTGCTGGGGCATGGGATCAGGGCCCACATACCTGCTTTCTGCTACCTCCTGCGGCGCGCGCAGCTCCACTATGCTGCTGTCAGCTGTGTGCTGCATGCTACTCCTTGCACAAGAGCATGGCTGTTCCTCTGTGCACTGCATGGTGCTCCCTGCACTCGCCTGCAGCTGTTCCTCCTCATGCTGTAGGTGGCTTTGGGCTGCCAGTGACTGTGCTGGGACCTGGGCTGCTTGAGATAGGGCTGCTCGCTGGCACTGCCTCCTTCTGCCCTGAGCTTCTGAGAGAAGAGGAGCAGGACTCAACCCAGCAGCGCAGATCAGGCACACTGAATAACTAATTCCTCAGAACTCCTGGGCTGCTTCCTGCAGTGCTCAGGGCCCTGTGTGCCATGGGCCATGTGCTACCTGCTCACCACTCCAGAACTGCCTGGGGTAACACTGCTCTGTAAGTGCAACCAGTGATGCCTCAAATGCATATAGACCCTTCTTACCCTTTCCCCTACATTGCACCAGGATATGCAGAGTGCTGCTATAGTATATGAGCATGGCAGCACTGGGCTCCGTGCTGAAGCTGCCAGAGCAGCAGGCTGCAGGCTTCACTTGTCCTGGCCTCATTAGCATAGATGTCTCTCTCCATGCCCTCCTACCTTCCTTAGCAGTACTGTGCCCTGTTGATGTTGTGTCCCGTGCCCAGCACTGATGCTCCTGGGCTTCCCACCTCTGTCTGCAGTGCTCTGTGCCTGCTTGCATGGCCACCTGTGGGAGCAGCACGGTGTTGGGGCATTGCCTGCCAGCTCCTGGCAGTCTGCACGCTGGCACTATGCCCGAGGCACAGACCTGCTCGAGTTGCTCTGTGTACTTCTCCAGGAGATCATCACTTGCACTGGAACTACTACAGGAATCTGCAGAAGTGGCCTCTATCTGAGCTGTGTCCTTCTGGTCCTGTGGAGAGGTGCAGAGCTGTTTGTGGGCCCCCAGCAGAGTGCACTGCGCTATGCTCTGCCCATGGAGGGGCTGGGACTCGAGATGGAGAAAGCTAAGCTGGGACAGCCTAATGGTAGTGGGCTTTAGAACGGGTTTTTGGTAAAGGGACACGGCCAGCCCCATGGGGCTGCAGCTCCTGGCCCCTGGTCCCTGCCACAGTGCCCTTCCCATGGTGGCAGTATCTCCTGTCTCCCCGCAGCCCTGTGCAGCAGCCCCTAACCCATGTTGGGGTGCAGAGGAGAGCTGCAGGCTGCAGGTGCCACATAGGGGCTGCAGTCACCCAGCTCTGCTCTGTTGAGCAGACAGGCCCACTACAATTGTGCCTGCTTGGAGTGGGAGTGTGGTGCTGCGTTCTCACCCTGCTCATGGCAGCTAGAATGTGCCCTGTGCTCTGTGGGCTGGTCACTGCCCTCTGCAGTGCTGTTGGGCAGCAGTGGTGCCTCACTAGGTCTGAGATGGCTGCAGGGGACCCGTGGCTGAGGGTGGGGAATTTACACAGCCCAGCCTGTGGCCTTTGCACTGGGCAGTGGTACCTGCTCCATTATTGCCCGGTAATGATGCTTCTGAGAGATCAAGTCCTGGTGCTTCTGCTCCACCACATGCTGCTGCAGATGCAGCTGGGCCAGCCGTATGTTGTTCAGGTCCCTGCAGATGTCCAAGTCCACCTGCAGCACCTGTAGGAAGGCTCGTGTGTCCTGCTGCTGTGAGTCCTGGTGTGTCTGTGCCCCTCCATACTGTGGCTCCAGCACTACTGCTTCTCTCTGGCCCTAGGACACAGCGTGAGCAGCAGCTTGTCTGTCTCATGTCTGTGAGTGGTACCCAGCGTCAGCCCACTCTGTAGCCCCTGACAGACACTGGGGGGCTGGACAGATGTGCTGCGGGGCCAGGTTTTGGTCAGCAAGCAGCACCAGACTGCTGGGTGCAGACCTCTCCCCAAGTGTGTGTTCAGCCATCTCCTAGAGGTCTCAGGCACTATTGCTGCCCAGCTCTGCAGCACGCTGGTGTAACCTGTGGCAACTGTGAAAAATGGTGGCAGTTGCACCAGTGCAGCTGCTGCAGAGCCGGATGCTCCTCCCCAAGCCCTCACACTGTTCCCAAGCCCCAGGGGTGGGCTCTCTGTTGGCACAGGTGATGGCTGCCAGGGCCTCCCCACTGCCTGCCCACCAACCTGCAAATGCATGCCCACTGCCTGACACTGCTTACCTGGGACTGAGAGGACTCCATCTCCTGCTGCTGCTGCTGGATGTGGCTGCTCTGCTCTGCCATGGTCACCTCTGCCCCTCGCAGTCCTCCCTGGGTCTCCTTAGACTGGCATCTCACTTCAGGAACCTCCCTGCATGTGCCATATTCTGGTCACATTCTCTCTGCTGCAGAGACCAGAGCATGGAATAAGACAACACAGACAGCCCTGGGTCCCGTGGAAGGGGGCAGCCAGGGACATCACCCAGGCCTGCTCACACCATTGGTGCTGCAGCTTCCAGGAGCACCTGCTGCCTGTGAAGGGAAGGCACACGGGGCTCACCCAACCCCAGCAGGATCAGTCCCTCCTCTCCAGGGTGCAGGGCCCCAGCGGTGCCTGCAGCTCTCACCTCCCCGCACCACTCTCCTTCCCCTTGCCCATGCTGCATCCCTGGCATGGCATGGCACTCTTCCCACTACAGCCCAGCCCTGGTCTTGTTCTGAGGACAATGCCTAGAACCAGAACTCGGTGACACTGTGCCTGGCCCAGGTTGTTGCACAGCAAACCATCACTGTGCCCAGTGCTGGCAGGGGCTGAACCTTCTGGCAGCCTTGTATCAATCTCAAGTATTCACACTCTCACGTCTCTGTGCCATCCTTGTGCCGCACTCCAGCCACGCTGCCGAGGTGCAGAGTGGAGCTGTGCTTGGTGCCATAGGTGCTGTACCCTGGGATGGCTGCATCCCGGTGGGGCTCACAGAGCTGCACAGTGCTGCCAGAGGAGGGATTGACTGCAACGACGGCGGCTGCTGCTCCGTGCTTCTGTCCAAAAAGGTAAAAGTAACAGGAACAAGTTGTCGGAAATTAAATTTCAATTTCTCCACGCCCTTCCCTGTCTGTGCGGCTTCCCGGCATGGATCAATAGTGTTTAGACAGCCAGGAAGATTTTTTTCCCCTTTTAAAGCACCAGATCAATAGTGGGAAAAAACACAGCACTGATCCCTCTGCTGCACGAGCTGTGGTACCCAAACAGCTTGGCCCTGGCAGCCCCGGCAGCACAATGCCCACAGCACGGGGGTCTGGCACAGCTGCTGGAGAAAATGAGGTCCAAGGGTGCTGAGCGCAGCCCTAACACTACTTGGAGGCTCAGGGGTAGGTGTTGTAGCCATGGGTGTGGGAAGGCCTGGAGGAGCTGACCTGATACAGATGAGCTCCCAGCTCCATCTGCCATGCCCTCACACACTCCGCAGTTCCATGAGTGCTGTTTTAGCTAGGAATTGGCACTGCTGTGCAGAACTGCTGTGCTGAATTTAGCCTTAGTTTCTGCCAGTGCAAGAGAACAGCATTTCCCAGCAGCACTGTACTGTGCCGAGCCATGCCAAACTGTGCCAGGCTGCTTGCCCTCCCTGCCTGCTGCTGGGAGAACGTGGGGTTGAAGCAGTTGCTCCGTTGGGTGAGCCGGCACCACATGCCGAGCAGCACTGGGGTTGGAGCCGTCTCTCTTTAATTACTGCCGCAATGTTATTCTTTTCAGTGCCACGTTAATTGAAATTAAACAGCTGCCACATTCTGGCTGGGACAAAAGTGAATCCATTTTCATTCCTCTCTGGTGTAATGAAGACTGACATGCTGTGAGGAAACAAAGGCGATCCAGCTGCTGCCTCCAGCCACACGCACACGACAATTACCAGGGTGCCGTGCAGCCCAGCCTGCGCCACTGATGGGCACAGCAGGGAATGCAGTGCCCATGTTCTGGGGGAACCACAGGAACACCGCAGTGAGCCCAGATGCTGAGCCCAGGCCCTGGTTCCGTTTGTTGAGTTCCAGCCACAGGGCCATGTGTGGCACTGCCCTTCTGCTTGCCCTTGCTGTCGGGTTCACCATCTCTGCAGGGTTACCCGTCTCGGTGGGCTCACTGCTGGCAGCCCCACATGGCCCCAAAGCCTGAACAAGGTAGGAGCTGAGCAAGGTGTCTCCACCCTGTCCTTCTTCTTCTTTTTTAGGACCAAGTGTGTGTTCGTGATGCCATTCAGTACTTTCAGATATGCAAAATGAGGCACTGGTGCAAACCTCATTAACACTCGCCTCCAACATCATTAAGATGTTTCCAAGAAAATTAATTGAGAGACTCATTAAAAATAAATTAAGAAAAATGCGTTGCAGAGCGCCTGCTCCGAGCTCGTAAATCACGGCCCGAAGCTCCCGGCTGCAGCGCAGGCAATTAACGGCGGCCGATTTGTTTTATCCTGACTGCGAAAATTAGAAAGCAGACGTGGAGATTAGATTAGGGACGTCTGTCAAGCGGAACTCGGAGTGAATATTTTAGGATACTAAATAGAAATCGGTAAAACAAAGCCAAGACTCCGTTCATAGCAGGCAGGCAGAGGTGCAGGAGGAGGAAGGAGTGCAGCACAGCATCCCAGGAGTGGCACTGCGGTGCTTCAATGTGCACACACTGCTGTGTGTAGCCACAGCCTGGAGAGCAGCACCCACTGCTCCTCTGTGCCAGCATGCACAGCCTGCTCTGGAGCTGCTGCACTGCACAGCTGGAACCAATGCGGCGCCTCTGTGCACACAGCCGTCCCCAAAGCCTGGACCTGCGGGTCCCACAGCACTGCTGGACGGTGTGGGGCTGAACGTGGTTCCTCACAGCCATCCTGAGAGAGCGATGTTTAGAACAGTGTCCCTGTTTTTGCTGCACTCTGAAAATCAGGAAAAATCTCTGGATACAGAGGGCATTAAATCATTACATCCTTTGTTGTCTGGTCCCCTTTGTTCAGCCAGGCACAGCGCCCGTGTCCTGAGGTGCAGGTCCAGCTCCCTGCGCATCCTGCAGCTCCAGGCAGTGCTTTAGAAGGATGTCTGTCCATGTATGCAGGACATTTCAGAGCTTAGAAGTCCCCTGCACTTTAACTGCCTTTCTGTGGCAGCTCCTTCCTTGCTGCACCTGCCCCAGCATGGAGGGAATGCTGCCTCTGAGCCATCACTACTTGTGATTTCAGTTAAATTTCACTATTTATTGCCTATGCTAATAATGTAATGTCCTGAGAACCCTGTCTGGTTGGGTACCCAACTTACTGGCACCAGCGCAGCACACGCACACTGCTGGAAGCACCTTTCCCAGCTGCTGCCTTCCCACCCCTGATCATTGGTACACAGTGCCTTTCCCAGCCCATCCCAGTGCTGCTGCTGGCTCTGCTGGCTCCGTTCTCTCCAGAACGTCTGTTTTGCAGCTAAAATTTTCCATGCTGAGCCTTTGCCTGAAGATGCACTTAATTCAAATGTTTGATTAACCTCCTTTCAACTATTTCTGAGTTATGGAATGAGTGGAAAAATACTCGCATGTAAGAACTTACTGGTGTTAAAAATAACTGACCGCAGGAAAAATAGCTGCATTTTTTTCAGCTTAACCAGGCTTCGTCCCCACAGGGCTTCACGCTTCCCCCGTAAACAAACACAGCAGCAACGCCTTTGGGTGTGCTCAGATGGCAAAGCCTCAGCCTGGAAGGGGATGGAGAGAAAAAGGGAAATGGGAAGGGGAAGAGGAAGGCTTACGAGAAGGAGAAAGGAAAAAGGAAGGGGAAAAGGGAGGGAAGGACTCCCACTTTTTCTCATCCTCCGTCCCATTTTTTTTGGCTCCACTTCATTGATTGCCTTTCCACCTGTTTTACACCTTCCCATCCTTTTTCGGTCTCCACTTTCAAGCTGGTGAAAAAGGGTGGGGCCAAACTAAAAAGTGGAGGCCAAAATGGGTGGAAGTCCACAGAAGCGCAGACACCGTAAAAGGGCGAGCAGGTGGCAAGAGGCTGGAAGTCAGGAAAAGGAGGGAGGGTGAACGCGTGGGAGGCCCGAGGCCAGGAGAGGTCTGGGTGAGAGGCGAATGCCAAACAGGACCGGGAGGCCGGAGGGCTTAAGGGCAACCGAAAGGAGCCGACGGGGCGCGGTCAGATCCCCCCGCCCGTCTGTCTGTTCGGCAGCGCCCGGCAGGGGTCGCCCTCGCCCCGCTCTCCCCGCGTTGGACGCGGTGGCGGCGGCGGCTCCTCCCGCCGGGGCGCGGCGCTGCGGAGA